GCATCGGTACACAAGATGCACTAAAAATTCGCCAACGTAAATCAACGTAACACAAATCTCTTAATGGATCACCCAAAGCATACTAGTTTATTTCTTTCATAGCGATTTTTTATCTATAAATGCATAACTTTTTCCTCTTAAGACAAATTCCCAAAGGTATTATGTTGATTGATAATAATAATATCAATAATATATATATGTGAAAAACAGTAAATTTACCTGAAAATAATTTCAACGTGATAACGACGGAAATCACCTCAGCTTTTCCCTCCAGCTAAGTCACTGTGCTTTGTGAAAGTTAAGGGAGCTAATCCATGGAGTGGAGCTTCTTGAATCAACCTATTCTTAATCGAATCTATCGCACTTTCATTGTTACCATTTTTTAGCCATAGAGCTAGACGATTGTGATATTTTCTCTTAGCCATCACCACACCGACTATCTGTGTATCTGGATCATCCGAGTCCTCAAGAGTTTCCCCCACAAGTGCCATAAGAACATTTTTCCAAATCGTATCCAAATCGATCTTCTCTTTTTCTGTCGCCGCGTGGATGTTCATATTCGAAGCACCTACAGAAGCATCCTCCAACAGACCCTTAGTTTGACTATTGTTGGTGGTAATACTATTGGGATCAATATTCACCCATAACCTACCGCCACACTTGTTTGCTTCATCTTCCCACATGGGCTTCACACCTTCTTGGAAAAAATGATATTGAGCAGACATCCGCAGGGCATGTAGTGGTTTCATATACTTCAGCATAAGGAGGAAGTGCTCAACCGTTTTTACAGTTATGATTGGAACAAGGGAAAGCCCCCAACTTTCCGTGTTATATGTTGAGGAACTGTCATACCACAGCGTCCAACTGCGATTGAGCGGATGAACATTGCCGGATTCCTTCTTTTGGGCTGCAGACATTTTCATATGTACCGTGTTCAATATGTCTTTTTTTATTATTGTTTTAAATAACCTCAATACTATTTGTATTTGACTCGTATTCCTTAAAATTTTCGTTAGAATCAAAAACACATATATAATTTTAAAAGATACAAGTTATACCCCTTAAAATAATAGATAGCTAAATTATGGAAGACTTTTCGATATATATATATTTATCTCTCTCTTTATTTGCTAATGCCGGAAGTTATAGGAAACAATAGACCAAAAGAAAAAAGAATGAATCCGAATTGTGAACAACACATAATCGTTACTAAAGAAAGAGGAGCTTATATAACTATTATAGATAGAAAATACATATATTTTTTAGAAAATATAACCGAAAGATGAATTATGATGAATGAATAAGCCATTTTTATTACTCAGCTTAAGCCATTATATTCATAGATGCCAAAAATAAGTAAATAATATAATGACGACTGTTCCAGCATACACAAAAATATTTGTGTTTAATTATTGTTTTAAAAATATATTATATCAAACAAAGTATAAATAAAACATTCAAAAAAAATTATACTGCATATATCTTATTCATAGGAATCGATCCTCATTTACGAAAGAAGTGAATACAGTTTATCATGATTTAAAAAGGGCAAGTTTTTTTTATGTGAGTGAAAAAAGGCCAAGGAAACGTCTAGAAATAACTACTTTTTGATTAGATCATTATTATTTTTCAAATAACGTACTGTGTAGACTTTTCAGGACTATCGACTTTTTTTTATTGCTATTGCACCCTTACCAAGTTTTTTTTTGAAATTTTCTGTATCATAGGTGTCAGAGAGACAACTCTTTACTAAGTGAATGGCGCTACGATATCAGCGTCGCTACATCAGTCTCCATCTTCTTCACAACCTTCATGACCGTAAATCCCATAAAAACAATAGATTTTATCATATTCATCGAAAAAAATATTTATCATTAACGTTTAAACTGTATATCACACAAAAAATACGAAGCTTTTTTGATTAAATGTAAAATTTAAGCAAACACTAAATTTATATAAATATAAACATGTACCAACATACACTAAAATATCCAAATATCAATATAATCAACATTAGGAATAAAATACAAAGACGTTATCCAATGACTCTTCTCTTGTTTCCCCGTTTTTAATGTATCCAATTCATTTGACAATTCGTCATCTTTCATTTTATGGTCCTCAAGCAGTTCATTATTTATATATAACCCTGGAATAGATTTTTATATTAAATAGTCAGTGTTCCAACAAAGATCCACAACATGCTTCTTAGCAATAATACTGCTAGACAAGGGAAAAACATGAAACAGAAGAATGCTAAAGGCAGAGGTAAAAAGGACTAACGAACAAAAACAACTATGTTAAGACAGATGTATATACTAGAGCATAGTTAAAAATATGTATTCAAATTTCAAATGTTAGTATAGCAGGAAGAATTTTTCTTAAAAGAAGAAGGATATTTTCAACCAAGGAGAATCTATCTAATAAACAAATAAATGTCTAGTTATTGGTTTAGAACTCATCTATCTCAAGCGATGAAAAAGAAAATGATAATGCATTCATCATTGATTTTAGTACTTTCTATAGATTTACAATACTACATTTTTTGTTAATTCGCATGAATATATGAAAATTTTGGTGTCAAGAAATATTAGGAGAAGGAAAAACCTAAATAAAAAGTAAAAATCATGAAGATCACGTGTGCAATGACATAACACATAAAAATAAAAATACATATATGAAAAGCGCTGATTCAGAAATCTATAACTTTTTACTTCCCAGTTAGATTTCCTTCGCGCTATAGTTTTTTTCCTTTTTTTCTTAGGATTGCCTTCTTAGCCACTTTTGCTGTTTTAAAGGAAGTTTATTGACTGTCTTCTTGGCGGATTCCAAAACAGATTTTAGTGCAGTTGACTGCTACTCATAGACCTTCTTAAGTGAAACTATATTCCTGTCAGAGGTAGCGAGCATGTATTACTTCTTAATAGAAAATGGCGTTCCAGAAAGGAAATTAGTAGTTGTCTACACGTGGAGTAACTTGGAAAATTTCCCATTTTGAAGTAAAAAAAGCTTCAGAAGAAAGATGCGATCTATTCCCACAGTCTGAATAATATGCACTATTTCTGTTAAAAAAAGATACTTCTTCCGTTTCTAGTTTGAGATTGTTTAGACACAAAGATTTTCCTGAGCTTCATTGTTATCTAACTTTGCTGTCTCCTGAAATAATTTATTTAGAATGCTTTTTTTTTTCATTACAGATAAAGGATTAATGATCCATAAGCATGGGGTAAAAAAATTCTAATATGCAATTAGTCGAAAATGGGATAGAATTGTGAAGCAAGAGGTAAATTACTGGAGAGAACATAAAATAGGAGAATACTTTCTATATTGATAATCTAATTTCAGTATCTCACTATATATGTGGTATGATGACATTTTAAATACGAATTATTAAGGATAAAAAAATTTGTTGAAGCGACACTTAGGAGTGTGACAATTTCTATGCATACTTGTTTTCGCAATAATGGAAACTCGTTTGCTTAAATAAATATTTTAGAACTATATAAATAGAGAGATCAATTCCTTGGAAACATTTGGTACTCATTGTTACAATTAATTCGATACAATTTGCTAGTAAACTCCAGAAATTTACAAATTCTTATGCAATAATAGTAATAATAATAATAATAATAACAAATGGAATTTCCCTCTTACTAAAGGCCCAACCCACCTTTAATTTCGTCGTGGTCTGTGATGATTGCGAGGGCGGAATCCCCTGCCTCGTCGATTGCGGGTCCCATTTTCGTCCGAACGATCGCCCGAATCGGGGTGTTTTTCCACCAGTGGGCCGCGGCCCCGCCCGCGAAAAGGTCCCTGCGGCGGCTGTTCGAAGCTCTCCCCGGCCTGCCCCAGTGGCGATCCCGCGTGAGGAAGGGAGGAATGATGATGGGAATGCGAATGGGAATGTGGATTCGGGTGAGAATGATGATTGGAATGCGGATTATGATGAGAAT